CGTTGAAGCTCTTCGCCCAAATGCCATTTGTGATTCGACTTTTTAGATCAAATCTCCAAAGGTACGCTATGTTGCCAACTGGTGGACTAAAAGCCTCACGACTCAAAGGAGTTAAGACCCGTGTTCTTTGCAGAAAGGTGAAGTCTGAGCATAATTCAGAACGCCGAGAAGAACTAAGTATTATCTACAAAAAAGCACACATCCAGTATAAAAAGGCCATTCTACAAGCCAAGCTGTACAGCTGGGGGGTGTTTTGCACAAACAATAAAAATCCCTATGGGATATTGCATAAAATCGCAACAAATGAGGTCTTTGCTTCTCCTATTCACAAGGTCTACGTAAACGGTACCAATAATCCACAACCGACAGAGGAGCATAGGAGCGCGATTGTGGCAACACTCACCAAGATCCTTGATGCAGTCTTTCAAGACGACAATACATTGGACGCTTCCAATCCAGCTTATCTTCTATACTCCACAACAAAAGATGACGTGTCATTCACACAACCTGAAGTCTGCGCTGTTTTGCGAAATCTACCGAGGAATAAAGCCCCAGGGCCCGATTCGTTGGACTACAACATTGTCAAGGCGATGCATCAGGCAAAACCAACGTTTCTTAAAAATTTTTACAATAAATTGCTCCAACTGCTTTATTTTCCCAAGCTCTTTAAGACAGGGCAAGTTATTCTCTTCCAAAAGAAAGAAAAGGACTCCAACGATCCACCCTCATTCTGGCCCATCTGTCTCCTGCCCACCATAGGGAAAATTTATGAGAAACTTTTAGTTAATAGAATAAAGCACTACTTGGAGATTAAGGGTGAGATAACGGGCTCTCAGTATGGTTTTCGAGAGCAGCGCTCAACTATCCAAGCTCTTAGCGCCATATAAAAGGGAATCTATGACGCGAATCAAACGAACTCGGAAACTAAAACTGCTTGGGCTTATAATCGATGAAAAGGCTGTCCTGGCTGCCTCACCTCAGAGCAGTCCTTGTGAGGACGCACACAATTGCAAATACTTTAAGGGACCTCCAAGGCTCAGACTGGGGCTTTAGATCACATATCCTAAAAATCCTCTATCAGTCCGTTGGGGGAAAAATGGCCCTCTACGGAGCGGCAATCTGGGCAACACCAATGAACGAAAGGAAAATGAAATTGCTCAGTAGTATACAATGCCCCTTTGCTCTGGCTATTACAAAAGGATACCATACATGAGCAACACCGGCAGCCACAATACTGGCAGGACTTTTGCCACTACATATTAGAGCAGCACAAGGAGCAGCAGTAACGACTGTCCTCCAATTACATCTCTGCACCGCTTTTGGACCTCTATGCTATGATCCAGAGGAGTATAAAACATAACATCTCATAAATGCTAACCATCCTTCACATCATGGAAAAGGGGTTATAGCACACACCACCTGTCAGCACAGCCCTCATGAAGGAAGAAGGCCAGTAAATGTCATCCATGTGTCTAACTACACCGGAAAAGGACTCTCGACCCACACATCATGGAAAGATGACTCTGACATAAAGTATCTATACTATGTATACACGGATGGTTTAAAAGTTGACAGACAAGTAGGCTGTGGCCTCAGAGTAACTAAGAACAAGGAAATGCTGATAACATGGAAAGGTCATATGGGACGGAATAATTCAGTTTTCCAGACTGAAGCAATTGCGATTTGCAAAGCTATCATGTTAACAAGCCCCCAGTAGGATCCACTATTAATATTCTTACAGACAGTCTCCCGGTCATATATGCCTTACAAAATTTCAGACAGCCTTCTCCTAGCATAGCGGGGATTCAGGGCATGCTGAAGGAGCCTTCGCCGACAACGAATACCCTCATATCTCGTATAAAGGCGAATGCCGGCATTTAAGGTAATGGGAAAGCCGACAGGCTAGCAAAAGAAGCAGCTCACAATATCGATGCTCAAAGCATTATTACCAAACTCCCGTGGTCTCATCTTAAAAAAGTGACAAGGACAGCAGCTCAGCACCAGTGGGAATGGGACACTACCGAACAGAGCAGGAGGACCTATGAATATTACCATAGAGTTTCGCTCGATCGTCTTGAGTCATCCCCACAAATAACGAGATTTGTGACGGGGCACGGGCCTTTTCCCTCCTATTACTATGTTTGTGGCTGCTAAAATTTAAAACTTTGCTGTTTGAAAAAATGAATTAAATGACAAATTAATAGCAATCTCATTACTATAAATGTTTTAATATTGATTATAAACATTTTAGAAAATGCATTATAATTAATCTGTTAAAATTGCTTTGAACATATTTTACGAAGATTTTAAATAAAAGTGTTTAATTTATGTTTATACTAACCAATTGAATAGCTCTAGGCTTTATTTTATATATATATATATGTAATGAAATTCAGCAGTAAATTTTTTAAGAAATCTAAAATCATTTAATGAGCATATAGACAGCTTATATTCTTTAAACTGTGTTTTCTCAGTTTGCATTTTTTCGATAAATCCTTTTATTTAAAATCATAAAACTTGTATAGATATGCCTTAAATTATTTAATATTTTTACTGCTTAATTAAAATGATATACTTTAGAGAAAGAAGAATGGGTTTTGCAAATTACTGAATCATATTTGTTTCAAAGTTTTTTCATAAAAATGTGTTTTTATTTTTTTCTCAGAAACTAATTCATTAATTGCAAAATCGATCCTTAAGGTTATCAAGAACTTTCTAATAAATACAATAAGAAAATATGGGTTAAAATCATGAAAATTGTAGGAGAAGAATGACATTTTAGTTGTTAAACTTTCCTTCCAAAAATTTTAATTTAAGAAAAATACTGGCAAAAAATCTTTTCTCATCTTAAAGTTATTTTGTCTTACAAAACCATTTAATAACATTCATAAAAGTAGATGAAAGTTCTTGAATAAAAAAATCATTCAAAAGGTACCGAGTCCCCTGTCGAGTTGAAGCCGATATGCCCATCTTTAGTTTTAATTTGAATGGTATTTCTGAAATACCCAGCATCAGATAACCTTGTCTGTACTTGTTTACAAATTTCATATTTCATACGGTTCTATGTAATTTTTTGGATGGTTTCACATCCTCAAATATCTACCAATGTGAATGTTTCGCTTATAGTATAGCGAGCAGTCAGTTGCATGTTAGCATGTTGTTTATTAAAATTAAGTGAACCGCGCAGTTCAGTATGGGAAATCTCCCCATTTGCCCTACTCCCGAGAGGTAGGACCGTTCTACCTCCAATTCGGAGAGGCAGTTAATGCTTGTTGCCATGTGAATGGGACATGTTGGAAAAACCAGTTTTCGCTACTGGTCAAATCTGCTTTTGTGATCAGGGCTATAGAAACGTTGATTTTACACCAATATTTTATATCCTTGATGCCAATTTGGTGAACCATTATTTATTGTATCTTGCTTTCATTACTGCATGTTTATCAAGACATGAAAACTTGAGTGATGATTCATGCATTGATGCCTAAATAATTTTTTATACTAGTAATTAAATAACGAAAGAGTATTATCCATTTACAAATTTAAGTTAACTGTGCTAAAATGTTGATGAGGAAAGATTTAACAAAAATTTCTTTCCATGTGCTAAAAATAGATTTTGTTAATGATACTCATATGACAAAATATTATGTTTAGTGCTATTTGAATTAAGAATAACTGATTTGTTATTCACATAAAGCCAGAACCGGACCCAGAGCTCGCATGGGCGCACCGGGGGGCAGAAGAGGAATTAAACAGAAGTTTTTTTCATTGCAATGACAATGTCCCAATCATCAATCAGTAAATGGACGGCGATGGTTCTAAATCCAGAAAGTACAGCTACTGATAGTGAAGAAAGTGACAGAGGTTATTAAAAAAAGAATTTCGATTGACAAGTTTGTCGGAATTCTCGATACAGCAATAACAGTACTTGAGCAATGGGAACTTCGTAACAACAAAAAATTATATGTCTATAGAAAGATAAAAGTATTAACACACACACACACACACACAGAGAAAGCAACTTGAACAACTTGCATTGAAAGAAATGTTTAATAAACATCTAAATATTAAGCTCCTTTTTTTTTTTTTTTTTTTTTTTTGTAAACTTTGATACCTTTTAAATCATAATGCTTTATGATTTCATATTCTTAATTTTATAATTTCTGTATGCCTTCTTGGTAGATTTAAAAGGATCTAATATATGGAAAAATCCAAATCCGAGATCACCGAAGTCCCAACAAGTCCGGATCTCATACTTTGTACTGTATTTTAATTAACGCATTTTTGAAACGAGGGTTTAAAGTAAAAACAGATTAAAAAGAACTTGTGGGCTGGGTGTAGCAGTGCTATGTACTGAATACATCTGAGATGTTAAGTTACAGTTATTTCTTTCGATACTGTTTTTTTTTTTTTTTTTTTATATATATATAATATAATTTGCTTTCATGCTTTGTGTATTTCTGCTAGAAATCAGATGTTTCTAAATCATATCCTAAAAATGCTAGAGAGCATATAGGTGAGGGAAAGCAATGAGTAAAACTAATACTATAATGATTATATAATTTTTTATACATTTATTTTTTAAATTATATTTCCTAAATTTGATTTTATTAGAATTAAAAAAGCAAGTTTAGAAACAGAAAACTAATAAGTGAGCAAAAGTTGTAAATTTTAATTGGAAATAAAGCAAAAGTTTTAACGACATCTTTTGAACAACAGCATTGTTAAGTGCAATTTCCTGATGATAACAACATTCACAGTTGCCAGAGCTTATTAACTAAATTATGCATTATTATTTGCTTTCTTTTTTAACAAGAATTTGTAAATTTGAAGTAATTATTATTTACATATTTGTGTGTTTAATTTTATTTGAATTGTATTAATTTTTTCTAACCATTCATCTAAAAGATGTTAAACACTTTACAAAATAAGTGAGGCATTCTTGTAATAGTTGTCCCAAATTATAATATGTTAATATCTATATAAGTTTTAATATTTTTTAGGGTAATGATAATGATGAGATGCAGTTCAAGTCAGATGTTAGCATTTTTGAGAATATCCTGAGAAAGAAACTTGGCCAATTATATTATTTACAAAACTTGAAAAGAGTATGATTCATTTTCATAGATTTTAGTTCTTTGTCTCAATAGTTAACAGCATTTTTCATAGATGCCTGTTAAAAATACTGTCTGTGAGAAATTATGTTTCTAAACATGCAAGTATTGTTTTGTAATTCATTTTAGAGTCATTTGATACTATTTATTGTTACATGATTTGTTGTGAGTGTGTTTTTGAGAAATTGTGGTCAATGATTTAATGTCAAAACTCAAACCTTTGTTATTAACTGGAAAATAATAAACTAATGTGTTGCTGTTGGTTGGAGGTATTATCCCTTAAATGCATGAATTTTTAAAGTAAAAAATTTATTAGAATTGCACATCAACTTGCACAATAATGACCATTACTTCGTTAATGGAGCAACCACACTGAAACTTTCAAAACTATATGCTCAAATAGTATGTATCCAGTTGGTTACTGGATTACTATGCAGTAAGCTAAAATTTGTGTTTTGATTTGATTTACGTGACTAAATATGAGTATGTTGCCAGATGACAACTTTATGCATTTAAGAATTAATTTACAAATTGAACTTGAAAAAAGCATTGTTAATAATATTTTAGTGTAATCTGTTAAACACACGAACATGCTTGCATGCATACACCTGCCCCCCCTCCAAAAAATGAGAATTCAGGCAGCAATACAAGAATGTGTGAAGAATCTGCTAAAATATAAATTGCCTCAGTATCATTAGCTGAATAAATTTGTGAATAATTGGCCACTAATATTTATTGTTAGTTTTTTCCTTGGAATTTGCAACCAAACAACTTTTAGAATGAGCAAAAAATATGTGTGTATAGTAAACCTATTAAAAGAATGTTTGTTGTTTACATGAGTGATGTTTGGTTTAAGATCTAAATCTATTTTCAAACGTAAGTGAGTTAATGATATATTAAAATATGTTCATTAGTCTTAAGAGTCTGTGATACTCTGGCAGCTTATTAGTTTATTTTGACGTGTAAGTGAAAATTTTCTGGCACCTTCATTGGGACCCAAGAGGTATTTGAAATTTTAAAGTATGGGTATAGTTATTAAACCTAAAGATTCACAGAGCTATCTTTATAAAATCTTTCACCGTTTTAGAAGAAATATTGAAATGTGAGGCAGATTCTTCTGAACTACAATCATAGCTTAATGCTTTTGTTTCAAAAGCTGAATATTTCGAAAATATGCACATTTTCTCACCACATGGACTGAAAATGAAGCAGAGTTATATGCCATTGAAGATTGTAGAGGCAAGGTTGTTCGAATCAAAACTAAAGTGAAAGATATTCTTCAGAATCTACAGAATATCAGCACTTCAAATTTGATTGTGATTCAGTCAGTTAATGAGAATTTATGCAAATGTGCATTTAAATTACCAAATCTTGAATTACGAAAATTAGATGGTAAAATTGTAGAATGGCTATTTTTTTAAAGTCGGAAAAAATTAACAAAAATGCTGCAATTTATGACAGTGATAAATTTCATTATTTATTACAAGTAACTGTTGACTTTTTGCATGCAAGCTGAATTATGGAAAGTTTTCCCCCACCAGCTGCTAATTATCCCAAGGCCATAGAATGTTTGAAGATAATGAGTTGCAAATGGAAGTTTATGTAAGAGAGTTGTTGAAATTGGTCCTGAGAAATGCAAATTCTTCTAATCTCTGTAATAACGTATGTGCATTGTTTGATAATTTGAAACCATTAACATCACTACAAATGAATGTGCTGCACTTCTTTTTCCTTAGTTGAAACTTGCTTGCCTGAAGATTTTCTAAGAGCCTATCAAAGAAGTGCAATTTGTCTATGTTCCAGACAAAAATCATAGACTAGGCAGTTTATTAAAATTTTTGACATGAGAAATAGATTCGGAAAAGCACATAAATTTAAATATGGCTGGTTTTGCTTTGCAGAAAGAAATGTCTTATGGAGAGTGCATGCAGCCGAACATAAGACTGTTGCAAATCTATTAAAACTGTTCAAAATCTACCTTCAGCAGCAGTTAGAAAGTCCTCCACGAAGTCATCCCTTCCCTTAGGCAGATAGGCCTAGTGTGCTTTGCCATAATTAAATACACCAACCTTCAGCAGCAGGAAGTTTTTTTATTGCTGATTCTTCTGCTAAGATATGCATGTTTTGCAATGAAAAACATGATTTGTTAAATTGTTTTAAAGGTGGGTGAAAAAATGCTGTTTTCAGAAAGGCAAAAATATTTAAAAGATAAGATAAGGGGCACTGCTTTTGGTGTTTAAAGGCTAGTTAAATAAATGTTCTATTAAATTTGCCATATGAATCATAGTAGTAAGAAGCCTGTGTTAAAGTTCGGTGAATCTTGCTAGTGTTAGTAACTAATCACAAGTACTTTTGCGAACCCTGAAAGTGAAATTAGTTGGAAATAACTGTACACGTTGTGTTCGAGCTTTATATGCCGCAGTATAACAAAAATCGTATTTAAGAAAAGACTTAAATTTTACTGTAAGCATTGTACCTCTAGTCAGCAGATTTTGAGCCATGCCCTTTTTGAAAGAAAAGAACCCCTAAAATTTTGCATAATTTCTGAAAAATTACGCTAAAGAGCCTAGATTAGTTGTTCTCAACCTTTTGAGTAATGCTTAACACCTAAACAAAAATTGAAAAACTTTAGTACTACTAGTACATTTTACAATGATTATTTTTCACTTTCTCAATAGCAATTGTCATTTGCACAACCTATAGGCTATTTGTATTAAATTTGAACACATAAAAAATGATAGATTAAAATACTAAAAAATATTAGGTTAAAAATTTGATAAAAAAGATATTGATTACCATTTTTACAATTAAAATTAAATTTTGAAGTTATAATAATTTAATTCTAAACTTTATGGTGAAATTTGGACCTGTTTAAGAGAGAACAATTTCTTTATGTCTGTCTGGTCTTATTTCACTTAGTTTTAACCATAAAATAGGATCCACTTTTAATTTTGTTCTGTATTTATTTTTCAAATATAACATAGAAGAAAATCCTTCACACAAATAGGTTGTGCAAAATGAAATAAAAATTTAATAGCTTTATTTGAAATGCCTTTAATTCTTTTTCCAGTTCAGCCAAAAGTTAACAAGTGTACTATTTTTTAAATCTTCAGTTAGAGTTCGATCATAGGAAATGCCTATCAGTTGTTCTATTTCTTCAGGAAGTTTTTAATTGAGTAGTTAATACTTTGTGTACCATCTATTTTTCTCTTGCATACCATCAGTGCCACTGGTTGAGAATCCTTGGCCACTGGTTGAGAATCCTTGGCCTAGATGATAATTTTGCTTTTGTTATTTATGTGCAAGATACAATTTGTGATGCTGTATCTTTTGCCTTAAATGCTGCAAGGTTGAAGAGCTCAAGTCCATGAATATACCATTTTATGACACTGTTGATTCATCAAAGCCTATTCCTCTTTTAATTGATGCAAATGCATCTGGTTGACTTTTCACGGGTACTTTCTTGTGGTATTGTAGCTATAGAAACTTACCTGGGCTGGACACTGATATGGAAAATACGAATGAATGCTGAAAGGGAAAAATGGTGATATGATTGTAACTATGTTTGTGAAAATTGCCAATATTTCTGAACTTTTTCTTTAGACATTTTATGAATATCTCATCCACTCATGGCAAAAGAATGAAAATGAATTTCTTATGAAGAAATATTTTCAAGAGCATTAATAATTAAGGATAATGGGAGGTGCGAAGTTGCCTTATCATGGATCTTTTGCCTCTCAACCGACAAAGATATAGCAGTAAAAAGAAGTCTCATCTAGAAAGTTAGATGTCACAGATAAACATATTTCTCACCAGCACACACTTTCTCACAGACATGTAGTCAAGGATCATGGTACTACCATAGTGCATCCCGTGTTTGATGCATCTACCAGACAATTTGGATACCCATCTTTGAACCAGTGTCTAGAATCTGGTTCTAATTTATTAGAACTCACTCCAAGTTCCTTCTGAGATTTAGAGAATTTAAATATCATATTATTGCAGATATTGAAAGGCCTTGCAATTGAGTGTTCGGCCAGAGGAATGAAACAATTTGAGATTCTTCTGGTGGAAGGATAGCAACTGTAAAGAAGTTAAAGTAATGCAAATTGCTACTCAGATTGGTCTTTGGTGTAAAGAGCAGCCCTATTCTTTTCTTAGCAGTTCTGGATTATCATTTAGGAAGACATTTTAATGATGTCTGATGTAATCAAAATTATGTTAAGGTTCTTCTTTGTAGTTTCTCTGTTAATAATCTAATAACAAACTTAACTGTATATATATATATGTATAAAACAACATATTTGATACATTACCCTTCATTGAGAAGTCTCAAGTCATTCTACGTGAAGGAAATTCAATTTGAAGGGTTGATAGTGCACCAGTGATAATGATCCTCAGCAATTTATTGCTGTGTTAGGAATTCTATGAAATAGAAAAAATTGTATGCTGGTGAAAAGTTTGAACTGGTTAGAGAGCTAGAAATTTTGCAACTTTGTCCAAAAGAATAATTCTCTCATTCACTCATAAAGTATTCAGTCCTGTTGTTTATTATTTCCTGTTTTTCTGATACCTAAATTGTTGTTGCAAAAAAGACGTGAAAAGCAAACATACCTTGGGATACTGAAATCAACGCTAATACGAAAAGGAATTTACGAGCTGATTAAACTCTTTCAAATTTGTTGAAGGAAGTGACTGTATCATGGTGCTTTTTGATTGATCTAAGGAGACAATATTTCTCTGCATGCTTTTCTGCTGCTTGTCGTTCAGCTTTAGCAACAGCTGTTTTCATTTATGTAGAAACATCCAAGAATGTTTTAGTGATTTTTCAACCTAGGTAAGCAGTATTCTAATAATATTAAAAATGTGTGAGTTTTATCTTTATAGTCAGGCTTTTGTTATATTAATATGAACATTGATTTGTATTTGATTACTGTATTATTTTGATTTGATGAAATAACTAATTATTATTTTTTTCCCTAGGCTGAAGGCCATGAAGTGCATCCTTTTGATCAAACTTGTCCTGTTTGTGTAACGAAACTGACGGACACTGTAAGAGTTGCTTTTTTCACTGAATTGTTTTAAAAATGGGAGAATGATCAGATTTCAGCATCAGCTGAGTAAACCTTAACTAAGAAGCCTTGTTAGCTGAATGCATTTTTAGAAATTTATGCAACTTTTAACTTTATCTTCAGCCAAGGAAAAAATGTTCATCCTATGCTCACAGCAACTTTGAACCATATTCTCCGCAAGTACCTATTCTTTGGTTTTTCTTCTGTTGAAAACTGTTTTTTTAACTTTTACATGGGATTACTCAGTTTTTACCCACCAGTGTTTATTTTATCAGTTCTGTATTCTTCTCATCCCCCCCAATTGAATTTCAATTTCGTTTTTGAGAGGGCCTTTCATTTTTTAAGCATTTTAGCAGTATTTTAAGTTTCCTTAAGCATAAGCATTTCACATGTTTAATAAGAATTGATTTTGAGCAAAGGGAAAATAATAATAATAATAATAATAATAATAATAAATAATAAATAAATAAAAATAAAAATAAATAAATAAATAAATAAATTTTTCCCAAGAGATTAAGCTTTTGTAAATATTTTGAAATTACTATTATTCAAAGTATATATTTAGTATTTATGGAGAATACATTGTTTTATTTTTGTGGATATATAAAATGTATATTTTTCTGCTTTTTATAATACACTTGCAAAAATAATATTTCTTTTAATTTAGTGGTGTGTTCTCCATTGTGGTCATTGCTTTTGTCTGCCTTGTGTTCAGATGGTTGGTAAATATGCTGAAGCACATGCAAAGGATTTAAGTTGTCCTGTTTGCCGGAGCCTAACTCCTCGGTCAGAGATCTATTCCGTTGATCGTCAAGCAGTAAAAGATGATGACGAAACAGAAATAAAAGTATTTATATTCATTTTCTGTAATACAGTACAAAGTCCAAGATCCGGATGTTCAATATCTGCAATGATTTAAAATCCAAACATCAAAGCCACCACCTCACTTTTTTTTTGAGAAATTTTTTGTATGCTCTACCCATGCGCATTTGATTTCCCCCCTACTAAAACATGTGGAGAGTTCCGATTCTTAATTTCACTTTGCACTAAGTAAAGTACCTCGTTATTCAAGAAACATTGATTTTAGCATAAATTTGTGTGATCACTAATTTGTTTCTATAGCTGCATATCTGTTTGCCATACATCTCAAACCAAAACAGTACATAGAAACATCATTGATTTTACACTACTAGTATTTTATATTCCTAATGCCAACCTTGTGAATCCTTATTATATTTTGCTTTCATCACTGCATGTTTATCAACACAGGATAACTTTAATAATAACTCATGCAGTGACGCTTAAATAATTTTTTTTTTAATCTTAGTAATTTAAAAATAAAGGAGTATGTTGACATTATGCTTGGCAATGATTGCAGATTTAAGTTAAAAGCACCAAGAAAAGTTGACGGAAAAATTTAACAAAAATTTCTTTTCATATGTTAAAAACAGATTTTGTTAATTATACTCGTAGACCAAAAGATTACATTTAGTACTATTTGAATTAAGAATAACTGATTTGTTATTCACATAAATCCAGAACCAACGCCATAGCTCATATGGCCGCACCAGGCTGCAGAATTAAGAAAAGACAAAATTTTTGGATTTTTAGAGAAGCATGGTGCAGAAAAATTAAGGAATGACAAAGTTTTTAGAATTTAGGTAAAGCACTGGGACCCAGAATTTAGGGATGGGAAAAATTTAGCTGGGTAACAGAATTTAGGACTCCTGGAGACTGCATCAGGTGGTAAGATATCCAATGCAGGCCCTCAATAAGCCTTAAGTACATGTGCAAATTTATTCATTCACGACTCAGGTAAGCCTTAAGCATGTGCAAAAAATAGATGTTGGTATAATAAATACTAAATTAATATAATTCAGGCTTAACTGCTTCAGCATGTGATAGAAGCAAGATGAAATTTAGCAGAAGAACTTATCTTTCATGGCCAATCTCATGATACATAGCTAGTAATGTAAAGCGGACATTATAAAGCTAGGTTAAAATTATCCTTTACTAATTCCAAGCAATGTCAGTTAATATAGCAGATTGCCCTGTTCCTTAACTTTCTGATTTGATCCAGCTTATTTTTTTTTTCATGCTGTTATTACAGCAATTTGATGAAAATTAAAGTTTGAACTTTTGATTATGTCAAAAAGAGTTTCTAATTCTGAAGCTGCAAAAGGATTTACAAAGAGAAAGCATGTTTCAACGTCCATAAAGAAAAGTGGAACTGCTACAAAAATGGATAAAGGTATCAGTCTCAAAACTATATGAGGAGTATGGCATTGGAAAGTCAACTTTTAAGAAAACAAAAAAAAAAAAAAAAAAAAAAAAAAAAGATTTTTTAAAATTTTCGGTGATTTCTACACCAGACACACAATGAATAAGAGGAAAATTATTCGTTGTGCTGGAAGTGACAATCGTTACAAAATAATGATTGAATGGGTCACAGCGACGGCATGCCATTGATGGCTACAGTGCTAATGGCTCAAGCCAAAATCATTTCATGAATGAATGAACTCCAAAACTGAGTGCACATATTCGGCAGGTTGGTTAACCAAAATTAAATTGTTTAAAAATTGCTATGATATAAGGCAATTAAAAATTTCAAGTGATCAAACATTTGCAGATGAATTCATTGAACTCATTAATAGTGAAAAGTTATCTTTGGAACAAATTTACAACACTGGCGAAAGCGGTCTTTTCTGGCAATATGTACCGCAAAATACCTTTGCAACCTCTACAGAAAAGGCTGCAACTGGTCTTGAAGATTCCAAAGCTAAACTAACAATTTTAACATGCCCAAATACTGCAGGAATGCACTAGTGTAAGTTTTTCGTAACCAGAAAAAATACACGAGCTCCAGCATTTAAAGGAACAAAGATTTTCCCCATTAATAGCATGGATGACACAAGCGTTAATGAATGGTCGTTTTAAAATCATTTCATACCCAAGGCTTGGCAACATTTGAATTCGGTTTGTTTACCTGAGGACACAAAAATTGTCTTGATTGTAGACGACTGTTTGGCTCATTCTTCACTTAAAATTTCAGTGAAAGATAATGAATCCATATTGTTTTTTCCTCTAAATTGTATGCCCATCATTCAGCCTATGGATATCGTAACAGCGCACAGGCTGAAATGCAAATATAAAGTTGCATTTTTAAGATCCATGTTAAATTTCTTGAATAATGGCAAGAGTGTTCAAGAATTTTTGAAATATTTTAGCATAAAATCTGCAGTGTGTAGCATCATAAGATCGTGGGTGGATGTGTCTCCAACCTCTTTAAAAAAATGATTGTCACAATTTATGGCCAGCTACCATATTTCATGGTAAGGATGATGAAGATGAGAGCCACTAATTTTAAGGTTTTCGGACATTGCAAACCAAAGGTTGAATTTTCCAGTTAATGTATTTTGTAAAGACATGTGGAGAAGTGGTAAAAAATGAAGATGATATAACAAAAGTTTTTCATTGCAATGCCAATACCCCAATCATTAATCAATTAACGGAAGGCGAAATTTGTATTATGGTTCTAGATCCAGAAGATAGCGCTGGCGATAGTGAAACAAGTAACAGAAAGGTTACTGAAAGCAAAAACATTTTAATGGATAAATTAGTTGGAATTCTCGACACAGCCATTAAGCTCTTGGCACTTGGCAATGGAACTTTGTAACTGAACAAGAAATTACGTCTGTCTATAGAATTAGAAAGAAAGTATTAGCACAAAAATCAAAGCAATATAAACAACTCACATTGAAAGAAATGTTTAATAAAGTAAACAAATAAATATTAAGCCCCCTTTTTTAAAATTTTGACACCCTTTAGATAATAAATGTTTCATTATTTCAGAAATCGCAGTTTCATGTTTTTAATTTCTACATGCTATTTCACTAGATTTAAACTGATAATCTAATGTCCGAAAAAATCCCAAATCCAGAATCGTTGAAGTCCTGATGAGTCCGGATCCTGGACTTCGTACTATATTTCCTTTTTTCACGTTTTTCTCTGTACATGCCAAAGTTCCATTAGTGATTTTATTAGTTTGCTGTATTTTCCATTTACTCAGTGTAATGTAAAAAAATTGTCACCTGAAAATATACCATGTACCGGAAAGTTCTGTCCGTTTTTGGAATAAAACAAAATACAAATTTTTCTTACCGTTAATAAACATATTAAAATAATATAATTGCCCTTCTTATTAATGACTCCTTGCCATCGTGAGGGCAACTTGTGTATCCCATTTTTTGAAAAATGATGTAACTTTTGATACGAAAAATTGAGCTGGTGCTTGTTTGATATCTACTTCATTTTTGAATTTTTTGCCCTTCAAAAAATTTAGTAAGGAGAAAAACAAGTGATATTCAGACGATGCTAAGTCCGGAGAATATGGTGTATGTGACAGAATTTTCCAGCCAAGTTCTGCAATTTTTGATGAGTCCCCTAAGCAGCATGTGGCCTGGCATGATCATGATGCAGTATGATGTCCTTCCTGTTGAATATCGCCATCCTCTTTTCTTGGACCGTTGTCTTAAAAATTGTCTAATTGCTGACAGTACTTCTCCGAATTGAGCTTTTTGTTCAGTTTTAAAAGCTTATAATGTACTGGTCCTCGAATGTCCCACCATATACACAACATTCTCCTTATTCAGAGTCAAATTTGGTTTAGAGGTGGGAGGGCTAGGTTTTTTTTAGGTTCACAATATGCACTTTCCCTTACGAGGTTTCCATGGGTGATCCACTTTTCATTCCCAATTATCATCTGGTTCAAGAAGGGCTTCATTTTGTTTGGAGCAAGCAGAGATATGCATATGACGACTCGATCATCAAAATTTTTCTGACTTTAATTCATGTGGCACCCATCTTGAATATTTCCGCACCAATCCTATCTTCCAAATATGGTTCTTAATGGTTTGCTGAGCTGAATAATCCCTTCTGCGATCTCTGATGTTGTCACGAAAGGATCTTGCTCCAGCATGGTCATAACAACACCGTTGCCGATCAAAGGTGACCGCTCAGAATGTGGCTTATCAGAAAGTTCGAAATCACCTATTTCAAATTAGTTTAACTGTCTTTTGCGCACCTTATCAGAAACTGTACATTTACCAAACACTTTCAATATATTTCTACATGCTTCTGTAGCATTTCTTCCTTGTTGAAATTCGCATAAAATACAGTGGCGTAAATCACTTTCGTCAGTGGTCATGGGTCCACTATCGCTTCACACTTAAGACTAACGTGAATCAACTTTGTTTTAGTTAACTTGCTACTTCAGTATGTATACATTAAGCGATGAAAATAGTGAGCCGAACATATGGCATATAAACGTATGCTTACATGTGGAAAATTGTTTTCATAAAACGAAAATTGTTTTCATAAGTTTCCCGTAGACCGTATATAATTCACCATAAAGGAATTCAGGCATCGCAATATTTAATTTATAGATTTTGGCTGTGGGGCATTATATAAATATTTTATATTTCTTTATTTTCTAGCAATACTTTTCTTTCAGAATATTTTGATATGCTACAGCTGGATCCAGGGTTGCCATGCTACCTGGAAAACCGGAAAAAGTCAGAGAATTCGAAAATTGACCAAAACATTCAGGGAAATGTCATGGAATTTAAATATTTTAGTCAAAATCTTGACTAAAGTCTGGGAATTTCATACAGCGATTCCCCCCCCCAAAGAGCGAGTTTTGTGCTGATGTTGGAAGCGATCACTTTCTTAGCGAATTGTGTATCGCGTTAGCATCATTCGGACAGCTGGCATGGAGCCAATTTTCGCAGCTGCAATTAGATTGTCTTTAGAAAAGCAAAGCAAGTTATCAGCAACTTTTGGTTTCCAGTAACCTCAAGAATCGCATGCGCATGTGCAGTGCATGTTGAAGTAAACAAAATACTTATTCTCATATATAACAAAATTGGTTTAATTCTAGAATACGGTAGCATGGAGGTTAGAATCAAAGAATATTTATTTAAGAAGGAAAAACTCTGCAACAGGAGTGGCTCCGTTCCAGTGTAGGAGGAAACAACTGCGAGTGTGCAAAATATCTGTCGCCAAAGCTTGAAGCTGGTGTCAAAGTTCGAAGGTCACATTATCAAGAGTTTATAAAATGAATATTGTTTAAAATTGCTTTAAACTTTAAAGGAAAAGAAAATCTTTTTTCCACACAAGTAAATTAATTAATGGATTATTTAATTTGAGAGGGGAACTAAATCCATGCTTAAATTATTGCAAAAATTTAAAAAAGAATCGTTTTCTCAAAGAACATTTCTTCTTAACACATGTTCCTCAATTTCCTATACACATTGCGGAGAGAAATTCTGGCTGCCAGGTTCCATTGCCAAATCCCTTGGCGAATTTTTCCTTTGCTTTCTAATGGCATAATAGTATTACGTCTGAGGAACCTTTCCTTCTTTACGTAGACGTTCTTTGATTAGAATAACCTCCATGTATGGAATACACGGGATTTGGTGACAATATGATAAGCAGTAAAGGGTCATTTTGGTGTGGGCGACAATTTTCAAAATCGTGCCAAGGCTGTAGCGTCTACTAGGATTTTACTGCAAAACTATTTTTTTCTTTTTGATAAATGCCTTGTCATTTTGCAGTAAAATAAAAAAATATTAATTAGTCATCTAGGCTAACCATTTAATATAACTTTATTTGCTAAAATATCGTTGATTATTTTAATTCAATTTTTAAGTAATTACTTTATTTTTATATTATTCATATCATTTAATGCTGTGTCTTCCCTCTAAATTTATTTATTATTTGTAAATAATACTTACAAATTCCAGAAAAATTTCTCAGACATAATCCTAAAATTAATTCTAGCAGTATGATGACATACCATCACGAAATTTAATGCACATATTTTTTGCTTACGTATGCTGCTAAATAAATAAAAAAATAACCTGAATTTATTTAAATATATCATTAAATAGATTTCTTTCTGTCGCTTAGCTGCAAAATGTCCGCAAAAAAAGACATTTTTTAATCCAGATTAGGTAGACTAATCACACACTTCAGTGGAGAAAACAACTCGTATTATAGTTAATAATAGTAATGCTTTAGGGATTGTATATATATACAGTGCAAAGTCTGTAATCCAGATGTCCATTATCCGGAATGATCTATAATCTGGACCTCAAAGCTACAAACTTACGTATGCGCAATATGCGTTTAACTCAAAAAATGAAGCAACTTAAAGAACTTACATTGAAAAAAAATGTTTAATAAAGTAAACAAATATTAAGCTTTTTTTTGTAAATTTTGATACTTTTTAGATTTATAATGCTCTTTATTTCATAAATTATGGTTTCATATTTTTAATTGTATAATTTTTGCATGCTAACTTACCAGATTTAAATTGAGGATCTGTAATCCGGAAAAACCCTTAATCCGGAATCGCTGAAGCCCCAACAAGTCTGGATTACGGACTTTGTACTGTATTAACTTATATATATATACGTCTTATGTAATTGGCTAATTTTGTGTTTTCAAGTAATACCATAATTAATTTACCTCCTAGCACAGCCAACATGCACTACTTGGGTAGAATGGAATTTTCTTTAAATACACTGGGGAAATTTCATTCTGGAAAATTTCACTTGGGAAATTTTCAGGGAATTTCATTCTCCTGTTTGAGTGGCAACACTGTAGATCACACAATTGTACGCAAAGAGAATTTTTATTTTACTTATTTATTTATTTTATTACACAAAGAGAATTTGTAATGTTACTGCATTCAGTTGTGCAGGCTTTTATACTATGCCGGAATAAATTGCTGTAAACGGAGAACAAAACAGTATTAGTAACAACAATCATCTTTTATAGCAAAATTAATTCATGGCCTCAATAATGAGAATTGTGGGTGATTTTTATATGAGATAACCCACATTTTGTTAGAAGTTAGGCATTATAGATGTGATGCTGTGCTTTTGAAAATTACCTAATGAAAGAATGAGAATTTAGCACTAAACAACGGCATCAATAAGAAATGAATTGATTTTGGAATAGGTAGAACATTCAAATGAAAAAAAATTATACTATTCTTGTACAAAATTGTCCATGTTAATATGAAAATAAAGTAAATTTAAGCAAACTTGACCAAATTTGGACGTACATACTGATCACTGACTGAGGTATATGTATGTAACATAGCCTATAAGGCAAAAACAACATAGCTGATAAGGCAGGAATAAAAAATTCGTCTGAGACCATTGCATTATAATTTGTCTGTGGAAATGAAGAATTTATCTGTGTGAAGATGTTAAATCAAACTGAAGCCTCCCTTGCCCGTAAGGAAAGAATAATGGCCGTAAAAATTGAGAGAAAATGACTGGAAAATATTAATGAAGGAAAAAAAAAAGCACACTGAAATTATTCAGTCATATTTATCATTAAGCCAAAAATATTCATTGCTCATTGAACCTAGAATGTAATTTAGTTTAGAAATTTGAATTCACTCTTTTATGTGGGTGCTATGTACACTATATGTTGCAAGATAATATTGCTATACTAAGTAGCTGATGGAATAGTTGGGTAAGTAGGCATATATGCATAGCTTAGCTGTTTCATTCTTATTTTAATGTTCTCCAGTTGTGAGTAATATTATCAAAGGTAATCTTTTGCTCTTAACCCAACATATTATAGAAATTCATAGTTTTTTCACTGGAATAAAATTCATTATTGGCCACTAAGCTGATTGATAACATTCTAATCTCTGCAACGGTGCGGGCCTGCATTTCTGAGAAAGTATTCTGTGTTGGAAAATTTTACCTGTTGTATTGTGCCATTCATTTTTTTAAAGTTTCGTTAAGGTACTGATTTGTCAATGAGAGATATTTCATAACATTCCAGATATAACTTTTGTTTTAACCAAATTTTGTCATCCTTTATAATGTAATAATTTTTTAAAAGTATTTCTGTACTTTATCCTAAATTTATAGAATTCTATGTGAACTGCGCATGGACTGTATTTTCATTCGAATTTTCAATGGTGATAAAAGTATTTTCAATATCTATTACTTATTTTAATCTTCTGTCTTGTATTCATAATTTCATTCACACTTTTTGAATTGATCTTCTTGAATTTCCATTATACCTCATGTATGAAGTTTATTTTACTTTGAAGCATGTCTTTAGAGAGTCTGTTTATATTTTTAGGATTCTGTCTGAGTTTCTAGTAATAGATTTAAATGCAAGTACATGTATTTTCCATGTTATATCCAAAATTTTATGATAAATATTTTATAGGGAAGATATTCCTCAAAAATACATGGTGTGCTAAAGTGTTTGCTTGAAATCAGGAAAAAGAATTCTAAAGCAAAAACTATAGTGTTTTCATCTGTAAGTATTTTATTTTGTAATATTTTGCTCATTTTCATTCAGTTTTGAATTTTTAGTTGTTAATTTTATTCTGGTTATTGATATAATTTTTTAAACATTGCAATTTATTTGGAAATCATATTAAGAGCTACACAAGCAGATATAAAAGTGACATAATTTTTGCAAGTGTTGATACAAAATTGATTGCAATTCATTCAAATTACATGTTTGATGTCTAATAGTTTGTGTAATATATTTAATTTCAGCCTTATTATGATAATAATTACAACCTGAGTATTTGTACAAATTTAAATTAGTCCAAAATTTAATACAGTAGTCATAATGTTTTAGTAAGCAAAAACATGTTTATAAACATGTTTTCACAAATAAGACAAAAAGATTATTAAGTTTGTTTGAATTAAAAGGTATATTAAGTACCAATGTTTTGTAAATATTCATTGCAAATAATGTATTTACTGTGTGTGTGAGGTTTAGAAGGATGAGCTGTTATGATAAGCTTCTTGATTTTCCTTCCTGAAAGCGGTGCAAATGAGAACTGTATAGTTATGGAAGCTGTTTATCAGAGAACTGATTTTCATTAATGTTTAAAATAGACTGCATCTCTTAGATACAATTTGCATAAAGTATTTTGTATTGGAAATTTTCGTGTGACTGCATAATGGCCTTTATGGTCTGAACTTCTGAAAGTTGTATCTGGTAGGAATAAAACAAATTAATTCAAATTAGTGATATTTTGTAAGACTTATTTACCATACTTTTTAAACTCTATGCAGCTCGGCTGCCTCCTGCCCATTTAGGCAAGTGACTACTTGTTCAGAAATCTAATACTTGTTCAGAAGAAATAATTTGTTATAAATTGCTGACTAGAAAGGAATGCCGCTGTTGTTAATAAATAAGTTGTTTAAATTTTTTTTTAGACTTTTGTGGATTTTATCATCTTAGAATCAAGTCTTTTGTTTGTAGCCTTCCCCGTTTGTAGCCTTTAAATTGAGGGGTGCATCTTATAATCAGTGGCATGGTACAGATGAAGAACAATTGCAACTGGAAGCTTTTCTGTAAAAAATAAATATCAGTGGTTGTAAATTTTTAACCAGGACTTTTGCTCTGTTAATGTTTTCTTTTTGTTTAGACCATTTTTAATCATTCTTTTGATTTTTGTATTTTGTAAAGTTTGCTAGCAGCTCAGCAGTAAACTATCAAACACTGGTAATTCAAACAGGGTTTAAATCTCAGTAAATAGGCTGGCTGCATAAGAGTTTTAATGGATTTTTTCATGTGTAATGTGAATACTAACTAGTTTTCTCTAAAACATCCTCCACAAAAGCAGCCCTTTTAGGCAGATAACAAGTGCTTTGATATAATCTAAATTATCTAAAATTTTCACTTTATGTAATTAGTTTTAAATCTGTTTAAAGTTGTGTAAAACATTATTTGTGCTATTATATAATCCATGTTCATAGTTTTGGAATCATCATTGTTTAGTAAGAAAATGAAAGCTGAATATTTCATATTTTCAAAAAAGAAAATTAAAGCTACATTTTAAAAACTGAGACTTACTATTGCTACAAGACAGCTATACTTTGCCAGTAAATTTTTTTTTCTTTCCTTTGTTTCATTGATTCATTTTTTGTACTTTTGATGCATTTTGCTTGAGTTTTTTACTTAATAAACTCTAATAATTCATTATAATGTCTTTGCAGTGGAAGGATTTTTTATTTCTTTTAGAAATGGCACTGCGTGAAAATAATATCAAGTGTGTGTCCTTGTGCAACAGGACACCAAATACATTTGAGGTAAATATTGCTGTCAAAATCTTCATTTGAGGTGCAACTACTTAAAATATTTTGTTTACGGAGCTGTCATATCGATTAATAATAGTAATTGAATTCCTGTTTTTGTTCAATTGTTAGCACATTACTTTGTACCTTTATCCTTGTGAACATGTATGAACTATTTCAAATGTCACTGTATTTCACAAAAATGACTAATTTAAAAAATGTCCACATTTTTGTTTAAGTTCTGAAGGAATAGTTTAGTGCATATTAATTACTTCTTTAGTAATCTAATTAGCACAGTTTATAATTAATATGAGTTAGATTAAAATGGCATTTGTATAATTAACTGTTATGTTAGCATCTGTGAAATAGAGATGAATCTTTTGGATTTTGTGAATATATAAAAAAATTGTTAGCTTCCATTCTAGGTTCAACCATGCAGCTCTTAGTGGCAGTATTCTTTGATTTTTTAACCACATAAAAAGTTATGGTTTTTCACATTTAAATTCTGTTCCTTTTTTTTTTTTTTTCTTTTGCGTATGTGTGTGTTTGATCAAATTTTTCTTTTACCTGTTCACTTACTTCTTTTTTTTTTTTTTTTTTTTTTTTTTTTTGTGTGTGGTGTGTGTGTGTGACAGCAGTTGAGTGAAAGATTTAAAAAAAAATTAGCAATGAAATACTTCTGTTTTATTTAAATGTTTATGATTATTTAAGTTAGCACTAACCTGTGTAACTGGGATGGCACCAGGAATTTGCCCTCTACTTCCCTTAAAAATTTTAGTGATATCTTAAAAGTCATAATAATGTTACAGCCTGAGTAAAAACTTTAAGGCCAGTAAAAATTTTTAAGAAAACGTAAAATGAAATAAAAGGGATTCAAATAATATTAATTATTAAAGTTCATTGATAAGAAATAAATGCTATAAACATAATTTGTAATAAATAATTATGAGAAACATGGGGTATTACATAGTATTTCTGCCTGAGTAAAACACCAGTTATTTTTTAAACAAGGCCACCAGTCATTTTTTAAAAATAAATACAATATAATCGTGTGATTACCTTTGCAACTACTAGCTTGTGACAACGCTCCAATTTTCATATTTATCATACGTTTCTTCGAAGTATTGGTGATCTTTGTGAAGATTTTGAAGGTAAGAAGTTAACTGATCGTGAAAGAGGAGAGATCGAAGCTTTGTCTTCAACAGGGATGAGTAGTTGTGCTATTGCAATAAAGATAGGAAGATCAAAGACCGTAGTCAAAATTTTTTTTAAATTGAAAGACAATTATAGTATAAAGAATACTGGGGGAAGATTTAAAGCTTTGTCCTCGCGTGATGAAAGAAGAGTTTCCCAACTTGTATCTACTGGAAAAGTACTCAACCAGGAAACTGATTCCAATGACAGGCTTAAAAGTTTGTCAAAAAACGATTTATAACACAGTTAGAAGGTCTGGAAGGTTCGCTTATACAGCAAAATTGACTAAGCCTCAGTTACTGCAGAGAAACAAAATAGAGCGTTTGAACTTTGGCCAGAAAGTCATGACCTGGGACAACCAATGGATAGAAATTATTTTTTCTGGTGAAAAAAAAATGGAATTGGAATGGACCAGATGGCTGGAATTTCTACTGGCATGATATAAGAAATGAAAAAGAAATATTCTACAAGCGCAATTAGGTGGAGGCCCTGTATGACTTGGGGCTGTTTTGCTGGATCAATGCATTCCTTTCAGGTAGATGAATTCACAAAGATACCAAAATCCTAACAAATATCTTTTGTCAAATGCTGAATGTCTTGCTCGAGAAAACTGGAAATATCAGCAGACAATGCATCGATCCATTCGAGTAACAGCACAAAAAATTGGTTCCAAGTCAAAACAATGTTGAAACTGTGAAATGGCCAGCTAGATCACCTGACCTCAACCCAATCGGGAACCTTTGGGGTCACTTCGAAGAAGGTTATGCAAATGGGAGATATTTTACATCAACAACAGAGCTGCAATCTACTATCGAAGATGAATGGTATAAATCCGACCCCACCCTTTGTCAAAAACTCGTTTTGTCCATGAAAACAAGAATATTTGAAGCAATTCGAGGAAATGGCTCCTACATAACCTTCTAAGAATTTGTAACTTTTTCTTATATGTTATTTTCTATGTTGGCCTTAAAGATTTTACTCAGGCTCAATTATTCATCTGTGTGTTCTGTAATATTTCCTAATAGTAAAATATTTGCAAATTAATTTTTCTACTTTTTTTACTTTTATTTAAGCTCAATAATTATCAATCAAATGGTATTTTAATTCCTCAGTTTAAATGTTTCCATTTTCTCAAAAATTTTTACTGGCCTTAAAGTTTTTACTCAGGCTGTATGTAAGGCTTTAACATGCCTCATCATAAATTAAAATTTATTTTGTGTTTTTGAAATTTTAGCATAATGTTAAAAATGTTTTCATGTACTTTTCCAACTACAGTATCGTTCAAGCTTCGACAAGAAGTGGTGGGGGCAGACCTGCTGAAAACTACTGTTTAAGTTTGATAAAGTTTTCTTAGCTCTAAAGAGGCCATGATGCAGCAGATAATAAACATTGGAGCTCGGCAGTTCTTGCTCACTTTCTGCATATGACTTAGCAAATCATATTCTTGAAGGAACTCGCAGTAAAGCTTATGCATGTCACGATTTTTATTCAATCTTGTAACTATTTATTGGAGTCTTCTTTCCACTAAAATTCCTGAATTACCTAGAGTAATTAATTATTCTTCCTTGATAAGCATCTTAATGATGAATCTACCTGTACAGTTCTGTTTGTGCGTTTTTTGAAAATGATTCTCATGCAATTATTTTTCTGAACTTCAGAGTCAATCAAGAAAAATTTCTTATTTCCCAAAATTTTCTTAGAGTCATCTGCGATATTTGAATCAGTAGTTAAATAACAACACTGTTTATGGGTATCATGCATTCATGGGTATTTATGGGTATCATGTAATTGGCAATCAAGCCAAGTAAGGGATTTTTGAGTAATAAATTTTCAGATACAAATTTTTGTCATCTTTTTTTATTTGATTAAAAAGTTCAGACCCTAAAATATTACCTATGTTTCCAGGGATATCAAAATTTGGGTAAAGCAGTTTGGCATATTTAAATTTTTGATTTTGGGATCAGGACCCATTGAAGGAGCAAAGTTTGTAATTTTAGGTAAAGCAAGAAAGCTGAAGTAAAAGAAGCATCATTATTGCTAATATAAGCATAATTTATCTTCGTTTTGATACTCATCACATTTCCATTTAGAACATTAACAGGAAACCTTATGTTTGACAAGACCCAGCTCAGTTGTGAATAGGAAGGTCATAAAATGTGACTGAGATGCACTATCAAATATTGTTCTGCTAATGTAATCATTCAGCATTGATTCTCAAACCTTAGCAATGTCTGTAGAAAGCAGAACTGTTTTTGCTTAATATTTTATTCAAAGAAGCAAAAATCGGTACCACTTTAGTTAGGCGGATATTTGTTGATTACTTCTGCCGAGCTAGGATTGTAAATTCTGTGCATATCATGAGCAGCTGCAGCCTCTGAAAGGGAAAGGTTTTTGACTGCAATCATGATGAGATATCCTGGACTGACAAAGTTTTTCTACACAAAGGGTTATTATTTTCAGACGGACACTAGAGATAATTATGCTTTCATTAGCACAAGCTACAAGAATATTTCATTTTGCATAATGCAAGCTTATGTTTGTCACTTAAACTGTTTAAAAAGTGCATGTTTTTTACAATAATGAATCTTTGCTATTGAGTCATTTAGAATGTGCCTTTTTGCACAATATGCATGAATAACTGTTTGATTTTAGTGTGAAATTTGTTTTATTTCAATAAGGAGTTTTTGGGTGTTTCTTTATTATTATTATTTTTTATATAGACTACCTTAGGATTTAAAAAAAAAACTACTTTTTTAATATATTGCTTTATATCACTATCAGTTATATTAGAATTAGCTGGAGCAGTTTGTTTTGATTTTTCCCTAATTTTTTTAAACAAAATGTTAAACCTTTAATTTATTTCTTTGATATTAAATAATTCATTTTATTTCATAATAAACATTAAAGCTTCTAAAAAAATAAATGAGAAACATGAAGGTATTAGTTGGACCCTCTCCAGGATTTGAACAATGGTTGTTCTAGTTTCTAATTGGATGTGCTAATAATTTCTTATGCTACAACATTGGGTGCCTTCCTGTGGTAAAGTTGGACCAATTTTAGCTTTAATAGTATTTCTGATTGGGCAAATTGTGAAAGGAGCTATAGCTAAGATTAAAGGGAGGTAGTTCAGAACTACTGCTGTTGGCAGCATGTCCCCCCCCAAGGCATGTTTGTACAGACCTTTAGGATTTTCAAAGTGCAAAACGTGAAAAACCTATGACGTCTCAATGGGATTTCAACCAAGAATTCTCTAGATGGTAGCTAGACATGCTAGCACTTTTACCACAAGAGCAATTATGGGGAAATATGATATTCCCATATGTTTTTCCCCACAAAAAGGCTGACAGAAAGGCATAAGATCTAGTCAACGAAGCTCAAGTATTGATGAATTATTGCCGAGAATATTTTTATTCAGAAATAATTGTAGCTATTAAACAACAAAAGGTGGAAATATCAGCTGTAGGCATTAATGTGATTGCAGTTTAACGTATTCGGATATTGTGCTTGGATAACCAAAGTTCCACCTGTTTGTATATGAAAACACAGAAAATACTTTGCTTCCTGTGATCAACAATTCAGTTAATAGGATCAAAATAATTATTTGTAAATGTGAAGTCAAGTTCCCTAATAAGATCAGTATAAATTTTAAAAATTGGCAAGTGACAGAGAAGTATATCCAAGTAAGGGAATTAATTCACCAAACACGTTGGTTTTGATTTTAATCAACCATTTAAAATTATGCAGGGAAAAAAAAAAAAAAAGCAACTGTAGTTTGGCACTTATTTTGAATAATTCTATCGATTTCAAGGGCTTACCGTGCTTCAGCCTTTACCCGTTCTCCATATTCAGCATGATGGGATAATGCTTAGTGACACTGTGAGGTTCCTCCTATCAGCAAATGCCTTCTGAGAGAACTTTTGGGCTAAAAGAAAAACGCAGATAAAGGCATAAAAAGAAAGTCTTAAAATACCATGACATTATTTTACAATGTTGCCATTTCTCAAGAAAAACTGTAAGAAGAGAGAAATATTTATATCATCTCATGAGCAAAGCATGTTCAAGCTCTCGTGATATTCAGTTCAAAAGAATAGAATTGGAGACTGAGATAAAAGTTAGTTTAGGTTTGTTTAAATGTATGTAGCCAAAGATATGTTTTTCTGATTCTGTAATTTGTGATATATTGGTAAATAAAGGATCCTACAATAAATATTTAATTTTGATGCTGCACTCTGTGATATGCGAGTAAATAAAGATCAATGTATAAATATTCAGTGGTATTTTTGAGCTCTGATTCTGAAAATGATGATCTGCAAGAACCTAGATTGCCAAGCAGAAATCAACAGACACTGACTAGCAGATCCATGATCCTGAATCTGGATCCTGGAGAAAGCCTTGATATTTATTTTTTATTTATAAGCATATAACGTCTTGTGCAGCAAGGTAATGTTCAGAATGAATGATGAGCCAAAATTCTTTTGAAAGCTTGGTGGTAAGGTAAAGGGGTGGGAGACACTTGGACTGTTCTTCCCCCTGGATGTTCTTCCTTGAAATTCCAACTGGCGCAAAAGCTTCATAGTTAGTAAGACCTACGAATGCCTAATCGGCCTGTTTTTATATACAGGTGCTGATTTTGCTTCCACCAGTACTTGTTTCCATATTCATCTGAAAATCTATTATGGAGTGCAGGTTAGTTTGCTTGAAAGTGCTTTGAGAGAATGAGTAATGAGGCTATCGATAAGCAAGAAAGATGTTTGGTTTGACTTGAGGCAGAATTAATTCCATGCTAATGAAATGCCTGGCCAGAATGCAGAATAATGCAAACCAGTTGATAACTTCTGTCTTAGATTGTATACTTTTGTAATTATTATTTCTCTGGTGTTTTCCATTGGTGGCAATAAGGTATCTTAATGAGTGCAGCCAGGTAACACTAACTATTCAGTCATACACTATTACTTTATCTGGTGTGCAATATTTGCTTTGAAATCAAAGCCTCATTTTTATATTTATTCATGTTACATTTGTATTGCATTTTTCATTTTTCTTTACAGAATTATTTGCCAAGGTTTAAATCTTCATTAGAAGAAAATGTGCTTTTGTTGCCTTTAAAAGTTGGTGCAAATGGTATGAATATCACTGAGGCGACTAATGTGATAATAATTGAGCCAGTGTTAGACTACTCTCAGATTCGCCAAGCAATTGGACGTGTATACCGAATGGGTCAAACAGAGTAAGTAGTGTAATATTATTATGCATCTATTTTAAGGAAAATATTAGTTTATAATTTTCATGTTTCAAAATGTATTTTACCAGTTATATGAAACACTGTTTGAAGGATCACTACAGTACAAAGTCCGAAATCTGGACTTGTCAGGACTTCAGCGATTCCGGATTTGGGATTTTTCTGGATATTAGATCGTCAGTTTAAATCTAGTAAGATGACACTCAGCAGTTTTAAAATTAAAAATATGAAATCATGATTTATGTAATAATGAAGTATTTATGATGTAAAGGGTATCAAAATTTTAAAAAAAGCTTAATATTTATTTGTTTAGCTTATTAAACATTTCTTACAATGTAAGCTGTTTAAGTGCTTCATTTTTTGTGCTAATATTTCTCTTTAATTCTGTAGACAGACATAATCTCTTGTTCAGTTACATTGTTGAAGTAACTGCTGTGTCGAGAATTCCAACTAACCTGTCAGTCGAAATTTTTTCGTTTTCAGTAACTTCTTTAGCACTTTCTTCACTATCAATAGCAGTATTTTCTGGATCTAGAGCCATACTACAGATTTCGCATTCATTAATTGATCGATTGATGACTGAGAAGCATTGTCATCACAAATGAAAAACTTCTTTTATATCATCTTCTTTTATTACCGGTTCTCCACATTTCTTTACAAAATCCATTAATTGGAAAATATCACCTTTGTTTTGCGATATCTGAAAACCTTTCAAATTCACCATCATCATCAAATTTACCTGTCGATCACTATACATTTTTGGCTATGCATCATGACCTTGGTGACTAACTACAAGTTGTTCCGTTATATTTTAACGTGCTTCTGTCACGCACTGAGACAAGCGTGAATTATATTAGTTTAGTTATTTATTATACTTATGTATATTTCTTGTATATGCTTAAGACTTATTAGAGTTCTGAATAAATAAATTCCCACATATACTTAAGCCTTATTGAGAGCCGGCACTAGATATCTTACCGTCTGATGCAGTTGCTGCGGGTCATAAATTCTGCAACCTGGTGCCACCTTACGAGCCCTGGAGCTGGTTCTGGGTTTATGTTAATAATAAAGCAGTTATTCTTAATTCAAATAGGCCTAAATGTAATCTTTGTGTCTGTGAATATCATCAAGAAAATCTATTTTTAGCATACAGAAAGAAATTTTTGTTAAATTTTTCATTGTGAACATTTTTTAGTGCATTGAACTGAAACCTGTAATCATCGCCAAGCGTTATGTCAACATAAAAGGTTACCGTACTCCTTTATTATTCAATTACTAACATAAAAAAATTGTTTAGATATCGCTACATGAGTCATTACTCAAGTTGTCATGTGTTGATAAACATGCGTTGATGAAAGGAAAGTATAATAAATAATGATTTTCCAGGTTGGCGTCAGATCAGCGACTATCTATGTGGAATGTTTCGCTTTGAGATGTCTGCCAAGCAGATATGCAGCAACGGAGTCAAATTACTGATCGTACTTGGTATCTTCAATAATAAGGTATTTTATTTAGTATCGAAGTGAAATTAAGATTCGGGACTCTCCAGATGTTTTATTATGTGTTGAAGAAGAGAATTAAAGGCGCATGCGTAAAGCCTATGAGGAAAATGTTGTGGGTGGTTTTGAGGTCCGGATTTTAGATCATTCTGGATATTGGACGTCCGGATTTCGGACTTTGTGCTGTAGTATATTGTTAATTTTAAAGGTAAATAAAGTATCTTTTTAATATTAACTAATTTTTTATTTTTAGTATTTTATTGTTGTTTTACACTTGTAAGCAAGTGCTGTGCTGTAAGAAAACTTAGAGCCTCCCAAAATGTGAACATGTTGCTATTTGCATGTTTTATGTATTTTTCCTTTCAATTTAGCGGCTGCCAGAGTATAAAATGTTAAGATGTATGCTGCGAATGTAAGAAAAATGTGTGTATGTTTGTCCATAATAAGTAATACTTCTCAGTGACAACTTCCCCCTCCCCCCGGCTAATACATTTTTGTACTCTGACTCAGTTTGCTGAGCGGTATCAAAATCTGTTGTGTTACATTTTCCTTTGTTCACTAGGATATTATACATTTAAAGACACAAATCTGCTACAATTCGTGGATATCAAAAACCCTGTTTTTAAAAGAACATGTGTTTAGAATTCCTAATACAACATTAAGTGTTGTACGTTTTTAGCCCTTCTATTCTTGAAACTCACTTTTGCATGGAAAGCTTTTGTTATCTGTTTCATCTTTCAAATAATTGGGTCTTGGCACGGCCAGCTTCCTAAAGTTGTTATATTAAAAAATGATGTTTTTTATAAATAAATTTTTATAGTGTAATTTCATGTGTCCAGCTACAAATTAACAATAAAAAGATAACTGTATTTATTGCTTTTAAATTGCTTAGTTTGTTAATAAATATAGACAAATTTAAAAGAAAAATTAAATACCTTACGCTTCATCAAATGGCAACAAACTGGTGCTTGGAAGATAAAAATATTTTATATTGGGCAGTGACAACTCTTTTCTTTTAAATAACTCAGTTCTTTTATTAAAGTTGGAGGACTTCATTCCTAATCCTTTTGAACTGTGAAGTTTTCTGTGAGATTTGCTTTGCCGAGTGGCAAGACGTTGCTTTAAATACCTGATCAGTGTTACGTATTGTCATACATTAAAAAAAATTCAATCAATTCAATCCAACAGGAAAATCACAAATATTTAAAACCAGAATATATTTAGAATTCTTGATAGAGTGTTAAATGTTGCCAAATATCCAAAATCTTTCTCTCAGCTGCAATAAGATTGTTTGTACTCCAGCATAACTTAATAACTTGTTTGTATACTCAATTAATATTCGAACAATTAAATGATCAAATATAACGATACTTAAAAGTACCAGTTTTTCTAAAAACCGGACTACTAAGGGTGCAAACTCGGCTATGACACCCCTTGCGCACTGTCTTCATAGAACTTCATTGATCCTTTGCATTTCTTCTCGTCTTCTCCTGACCATTCCCCCTTAATCAGCTTGTTAAGTAAAGTTTTGGCCCTTTCTATTGCATCACTAGTTGTAGACATAAACATTTGACTTCTCTTAAGTAGTCACAAAATCTAATTATCCAAACAACCATGTTTAAAAGTTTATAATAGTTAAAGAAGTATAATGGTCAATAATTAAATTTCTTCAGTTCCTTGAATACTTGAGTCATGCAAAATGTTTTCTTTTTCACTCTTGTAAAGCTTCTTCTGGGCAAACCGTGTTCATTACAGGACATGCAATTTCAGGTTTCCTTAACTATGAAGGACCATCCCATCATCTCATTTTCAGTAATTCACATTAAGTGCAAGATCGAAATGGTAAATCTACTGGATTAAGTTCACCAGCTAGTTGTCTGTAGCCGCTGACATCAATCAGTTCTCGAATTTCTGAAACTGTGTTACCAACAAACTTACACTATAAGACAACAACAAAAAACAACAACAACAACAAAAAAAAAAAAAAAGCACCAAGAAGGAGCAATGCAAATTGGATGCAAATACATATGCATACAGGTTTTGATAGAAAATGCAAAATTTTAAAATTGGCAGTCAAGTGATGCTGCAGTGCATCTGGCAGGGTATTTGAGGAGATATTATATTTCAGGTTATAAATGCTGTGCAAATGGCATTCCATACACTCGGGTATACAGTAACTATGCCTTGCATGCAGGTGCACAAACACTATGCTCATGTGTCAGCATTTGAGAGAGGACATGTAGTGGGCTCAAAGTAGCCGGTTGATCTAATTGCCAAATCTCTCGACATTTGGATTGCAGTGATGCCAGTATTAGATGATGTTGGCATGAATGGGTGAACCATGGCCGAACACAAAACCAAGAAGGAAGTGGTCGGCAAAGAGAGACGAGAGAACATGAGGATCGATCAATCATCAGAGTGGCATTCAGAGCCCCAGATTCATCATTACCATTCAACCTATCTGCAACTGGTGCTTTAGTGACTGCAAGGACTATTCATAGGTAGCTCAGAGAAAAAGGACTAAGCTCTTGGTGCCTCTTGCGCCGATTACCATTGACATCTGTACAACAACCAGCCCATTGTTATTGGTGTCAGGCATTTGACCTGAAATGCCACTGACTGGAATAGGATTGTCTTCAATGATGAGTACCACTTTGGATTGAGGCTCGATGACCAGCGAATCTCCAGTGAGGACCAGCCACCACTTTGCATCTAATAGTTCTGTGTCTAAAGGTTCATCAAAGCGGCTTTCGAAAATACTAATAAAATTTATTTACAAGAATATGTAAGAATTTGAAGCAGCTGAAAGTACAGATGCATTATTAGGCATCTATGCCTTCCACGTACTATGCCCATAGAATCCAGCCTGCCACTAACTATTGGAACATACACGTACCCGCCTGCCACTGGCTACTGGAATGTCACAGCATCCTCTAGCCGAATGGCACGGGAAATACATAACACACCCCACCTGAACTCGCTTGAGTTCACTTACCATTGATTTGTAATAAATTTACATTCAAGAACCATTTGAGGCTCACCAGCGGCCGAGCGGTAAAGTCGCTGAACACTGGTAGTTCGGTCCGAGGTTGGAATCCAGAGAATGGGCTGGCTGCATGGTTTTTTCGGTTCCCCATTGTGAACGTGTATACGAGCCGTTTCCCCTAGAAAGGCCTCCACGAAGGCATCCTCAGCAGATAGGGCCTAGTGTCTTTGCCGTAATTAAAAATCAAACCAACCAAGAACCATTGAAATACATGAAAAAAAACACAAATAGAATATTCATATTACCAAACATCAAAATTGTTCCCATCACTTGATATACAAACAAATATTGTTAATTCAGAATAAACTTATTCAAATTCCAATTTACGTACAGCACACTAAAAACTTATTAATACACAGATAGACATTAACAGGTTACAACTCAATAAACAACACAATTAGATAATTCAAATTATACACAAGTGTACGAGCCTTTTATTTTTC